GCTCTGTTTTCAGTTAGGTATTTTTATGGGAGAGCTCATGCCAGTGGCAACATTTCTTCCGTGCAATTGGATATTTTATAAAGCTTTCTGAATTAGACAGACGGTTATGGGTTAGTCCACATGGCCGCTTTAACCAGACGCATCAGGAAGGGAAGCCACATAGCCAGCGAGGACCATTTGATCTGAACACCTTCTGTGGTTACAGACAACCAGCTGCTGGACGCTTCCTTCTGTGGTCCAAACCCATCTGGCCACCTTTTAAAAACCCTTGTAACTCCATTACTCAGCCGCTATGTATACCACATTATGGCCACACACACACACACACACACACACACACACACACACACACACACACACACACACACACACACACACACAGAGAGATCAGTCTCCCTCCCATTTCCAAATTCTTTTCTCACTATTTGTCACCCAGTTTTAAATCTGTAATCTGAAAGCAAGTTGCTTTTTCACCCAGATGTAAAGCTGCACAAATCAAAATATATCATTTTCTCTGTGGAGATAATGTATAAGATTTGTTTTTCAGACTCAGCCTTTTGATAAATATCTCTTTTCGTCACATTTGTCTGATTATTGCCTCAGGTCTCTGCAGAGTTTCAGGAGTTTTCTGTGAGGCTTAGAAGATGTTAGGAAGATGCTGTAGAAACACAGTCATATAAAGGAAGGATTCATTATTAAAGTATATGAAACAAATCAAGCACCATCCTCAAGTCACTAGACACATGCATGCCTTATCATAATGTAATGGAACAGTTTATACTTCAGGTTGAAGTAAGAACACTTTCTAAGACTGTGTTTAATGTGGACTGATGGCACCGTTCCAAGTGTTGTTCTTGTCTCTTGTGAAATCAGCTATGGGAATTGACTCTATATACCTCCTCACTTCTTCCACATCATTAAAGCTGCTCTGATCAATATTTTTATATTAAGATTCTATGATTTGAAAGGAATCGCTGGTGATAACAAACCTGCAGAGAATTATCACCCAATTCAGCTCAGGTACACTCGGGATACACAGATTGTTAAATTTCAGGCCAATACTGATGTCAAATATAGCAATTTTGCCGATAACCAATGCCAATGTTTTGTTGTTATTTATTCACCCTTTTGTGCCGGTAAACAAATACATCTACAAAGATCTCTCCCTCGTTGCAGCTCAGTCTACGTGATTATTTCTCCAATATTTGAGTTTGAAATAACCAACACATTTAACCAGCAATGTGATCTGAAACTTCAAATAAATGCTAATGTTGCTCCATATCTACTGGTTGCGCGGCCTAGTGTTTGCCAATATGTTTGCCATACCAACTTTTTAAGGTGATGAAATGTTGTGTTGTGTGTGCTGCCTTCAAATGATTAAAAAAAGCAATTAATACAGGTTTAAAGACCATGCATACCCATGGTAAACCCACACGTGATTTTAATTGTTCTGGCTGATTAGACCTCATATCAGTGCTGTGCTTAATTGCCATTCTCTGACTCTCCTGTTAGCTTTGTTGCACCTGTTACAGCAGGAAAATATGCACATTTGTCATTGTTATTAGTACATGGAGTCTCATTACCTTACATAATTCCAGCGTGGGTTGGAATTGGAGAAATTTGTAAGTAATTTGCCCATTTTGTCTACAATGGTTCATTTTGATTTAGTTATTATTTTGTTTTTGTCATGAGGCTGTCAACAAGGATTTTTCTTCTCAGCCTGGTCATCTCAGTTATCTCTTTTTGACTGATTGGAGTTTGCTGGTGAGTCATACTTGGTGTTTATATGGAAGTGCACAGATTGAACCTAAAGATCAATGACCAGTCAATTTGATTAAACCCACGAATAAGAAAATGACGTCCAATTTCCAGAATATTGAATTGTGTCTCAGTCCCTGCATCTCTCTAGTACCCTTTCACACAGAATACTGCAGACGTATCACTCATGCGTGCACAGCTGCTGATTAGCCCTGCACATGTGATTTAGCACCTCTGCTGCCGAGTTTGCCAGTGCATGTTTGTGTGTGAGAGAGAGAAAGAAAAAGAGAGTTAGCCAAGTCATGAGGTCAGCCAATCCACTGGCCCTCTCCCCTGGCACAGAGCATTGTGGGAGGTAAGCCAGAATATCGTCCTTCATGGTTAATGGATAGATATTTGTGCCTCTTTCCAATAAAAACAAACAAAAAGAAGTGTGGGACGTGGTTTGTGGGGGAAACTGGCAGCTTGATCTTGACCCGTCTCTCACTGGACCGATCTGTCCAAACATCTACAATCACAGACTCTCCCCAATCAATATACTGTAGTCTGTGAAAGTATTGTAATGTTGTCAGTCAAGGACTTGCAAAGTATGATAATTTGTTTTAAATGGTGCTATCAATCTTTTTGTAGACGTGGGTGTCACTTTTGTACAAATGGTGGATATGTCATTTTGGAATGAAAGTCTTTAATTATTTAGAGACCAATTAGTCAAACCACATAGCCTGGAGCAAATGCAGTGGTTTAAAGTGATCTAGGCTGATCCATAGGGGATAGCGGTAGAGTGGATATGACTCTGCACATGCCATCTTTACTGTGTACACACACAGAATCGCAAAAAGGAGTTTGAATTAAAACCAAACCTCAGTTATTTTATTTCAGGGAAAACATGAAAATGTGGGAAAACTGAATGACCCCAGGTCAAACCTGGAGAGCGTGAAATTCTTTGTGTATCGTGAAGAGTGTGTGTGATCTTTATTATTAAAGGTTAACCCATTATTTGGAATTGTCCGCATGCGGCATGCGATTAGTTGAATGGTGAGAAAGTGGAAATTGGTCACAACTCGTAAAAAAATCATAAATTAGTGTATTAGTATGTGAAGGGCAACACAAAACACTAATGGAAGTTTTAATAAGTTATTAAATAATTTCATAATTTATTTTCATGTCTACATTAAGAGTATTACTCACAAATACATTATTGATTTCATAATGGTGTTGTCTTGTTTATTAATTTAATAACCATTTTCTCATTCCTGTCAAGAAAGGTTCATCATGAACATTGGTTGGCTCACATTATTCAATCATACTAATCTGGAAATGAGTCAGGGTTACCAAGGAGACCAGTTGCCAGGGTCACTAATGGCAAGGGCACAGAGGACTGCTCTGACGCACCCACATTTAAACACACACACACACACACACACACACCCACACACACACAAACAAGGTGACAAGTGAATATAAGTAACACAGTGAAACTGAGTGAAAACTTAAGATAAAGTTAAATTCTTTAATTTTTTTGTTACTGTGCACCTGCTTTAACATGGGGTTAACTGTGCAGTGGTTATGCGATGTGACAGTAGTGCGCAATATCTTAAACCATTTAAAGTATATGGCAGGCAAATCCCTTTGTACTCATTTCTAGCTCTATACACAAGATTGATGTAGTGATACTTGCTGGTAGATTTGATTAAATTATTTAACAATCTCATGTAAAGCTGACATACATAACATGGTCAAACCTTTAGCCGTCAGTGAAAAATGAACCAAACAACCAGAAGACAAAATGAAATGACACAGAATTAGTCGGCAAAACGATAAATGTTGGTCTGATTTCCATGGATTTTATAATGCATCTTGACATACATATAAACAAGTGACAAAAAAAAGGAAAACCCATCATGAAATGTTGTAGAATTCTAAAATGTTGGATCCACAAGCCTCCTGGACAGCTTCAGTATTTCCCCAGACCATTGGTAGGTGCATAGTTCCTCAATCATTGGTTCCTGCAAGACTAATACTGGGTAGTTTATGATAACTAAATAATAACACCAACACAACTTCAACAGGGTTTTAGGAAGTCAAAATGATACTATATGCCAATGATGAAATGAAACATAACCTTCCATCTTATTTTTGCTCCCCTTAGTTCACACACTCTACACTCTTTCTTTGATCACTTATTCATCCATCCATCTCAATCTCGATCTCTAGTGTAGGCTGATGTTCCCATAATTACCGCCTCCTACTCTGTCTCTCACACCCATACACACACATAGGTTCATACACACAAACACACACAAATCAGACAATAAACACAAGGCTTTTTACATCACATTTCATCCTTTCATGTCTCTCATCCCCATTTATGTAAATTACAGGGCTTCATCAGATTGAATCTGCCTACCCCGCTTGACTGTGGCAATTCTCTTGTGTTTCAGAGGATTTCCATATGAGTCGGATAATTACGTCTAGCTATTTGGCCTACGCATATGGACACTGCGCCATGGGTGGTAGACCGACGGTAGTTCATTGAAAGGTCAACAAGTAAACAGGCGTATCTTGTTTCATACAGTCCTGCTGCCTGCTCTGCTTATGGGTGAGTCTGTTACTGTACTCTGTGCTACGTGGGTGTGTGGCCATGAAAAGTTGAGCCTCATATTAAGCCATACTGAGCCACTTTTAAGAGGATTGATCAATTCCCAGGGGTCGAGTGAAGAGTGAACGCCCCCATCATTGTTAGTGACCTTACTGTTTAATTCAATGGCTATTTCCTCTGGACGGATCGATGCCAGGATTCAGTGACCATTTGTCACTCATCGAGTGGACTGAAGGCAAATATGGGGGGTTGGTACCCTTTATAACCAAGCAATACCCAGCCATGATCCTTTGTCACAGGTTTGACATCTATGAGCTGTGAGCAGTTCAGCCAAAGAAAGATGTTACCTTCTCTAAGCGTTAAATTGAGTAGGTTTTAGTGTCTTATCAATCACACTATCTTATCAATCATCTTGGGACTCCTTAGGGAATCCTTGCCCTCAGATTGGAAGCCACTGATCAAATGAAATCCAATACATTGGACACTGGACATTATGTGAAAAATGTGTATTGATATGCTGTACACATCTTACAGCAACAACTCCAGTAACTTCAGTCCCAAAATGAAAATACTATACAATTAAATCACCTCTCAAACATTACTAGCATAAAGACTTGTGTTTGTGTAACTAATGAACATGTCACACAGTAATTACATTTTTTATTCAGTTTCATATTGGGAAAACTTTTATTTTTGGGACAAACTGAAGCATAACACAGTTAGCATGCACAGTTACAGTTGCCATGGTCTTGGTACCAGAAGATCAGAGATCTCAGCGCCAACCAATCGTCTGATGATTTCAAATGCAAAGTAGTTGCCTGAACAGAGGAGAGAACTGACACTAACCAACCTACTCCCTTACTTCAAGGACATGCCTTACCTGAACAATGCTCTCCCTTAATTGTCCTCTGTAGTGAAACAAACTGGAGATATAGCGAATAACTTTATAACACGGATAGAACTTTTTAAAAAACACTGAAAATCGATGTCCAGTGTTTACAAGCACACAAATGCCATGTTACCACCCTAAAGATTTTGGATTGGTTCTGCAATGCTGGTTTTTAAAACTCTCTAATTGTCTCCACATTTTAGGCAATGTAAACTAAGAAAAGTCTTGTCTTTATTGACCGAAGCTCTTAGAGATTGGCTCGTGAGGCTATAGCTGCCATGGCTAAAAAGAAGAAAAAACAGCCTGCTACAGTAAAGATTTAATATTCAGAAAATCCACCAGGAAAGACGGTACGTCCAGTTTGGTCATTTGTTTGAACAACCACAATGGTTCGTAGATTGAAAGCCAGTGTTCTTATCCTTGTTGCTGCACAGCAAGTAAAACCCAGAGTTCCAGCGGTAGCACGTCTGTCTGTAGTCCTATACAAAAGTAAAGATAGCAGTGACAAGGACTGCAGCACAAAGAAAAGTAGGTATTTCAAATAGAGACAAAACAAAAACAAAAATCCACAAAATGATCAAATGAGCGATAGCATCTATGATGTTTGATTGACAGGTGATCTCTCAGAGGTGAAGTACTTGTAATCTGTATTTAGATTAACTCTACATCCCTGACTTTAATTTGTCCTCTGCCTTTTCTGCATTACTCACCTGTTTAATACAAAGCTGTGACAGACACGCTGTCTCCTCCTTCGGAAGAACAGTTGGAGCTATCAATGACAAGACGTCTTTGATTCATCCCAACAAGCATCATGAAGGAAGTGCCTTATGTATTGAACCCCAGGGATCCCAGGATGTATAAATCACTAGCCTCATTGATTTACTTATTGATTGCTTTTACTTTGATGCTCATCACCTTTGACACTTCAGTACACATAATAACCAGCCTTGCTAGACTGTGTGTTTATTGCTGTCATCGCTAATGGGTAATGTAACTGGCATATTTGGATAGGTTTAAAGGGTTCTTCAGTAAGAAATATAGAAACATAGTCCACTCACCACTATGACCATTCTTTCCCCTCTGACAGCCACAAGAGCAAAGAGCTATACCATGATGGATTGGAGGGTGAGAAAGAAGAGAGGAGCCTTGAGGAGAAAAGGACGTTAAAAGGAGGAAAAGAGGAAAGAGGGGAGGAAGGGGAAACAACGGCTTATTATGTGACCACTGCAGTTCCAGATCAGTAGCTCTCAAAGTGGAGGTCCTCAAGCAAAGTGAATAATGGTTCCAGTTCACTATAATGATCCCTATTAGGCAATGTGCCCTGACAGTGACCTTTGTCTCTCTCTTGATTCTGTTTTGGCCGTCATTTTCATCACCTTCGGCGTATTTCAGTGCAAATAACAACAGTCTGTCTGTATGCAGCCCCCGTATCAGTCAGGATCTGGACTGGACTCTGATGTGTTTCTAAATGAGTCTGTGACATGAAAATATTTGGGGTCAGTACTGGTTCAGAAATAGAAGAGATGAATTTAACTGCATGAAAATACAAACATGGTGTGAAATATCACTTCCAATCTGCAAGTACTGACTGGAACAGACTTTATTGGCCTTTCTCAGCAGTATGAGAGTATTTCCAACCACTGTAAATAAGCTAGTTTTGCTGCATTAAAGGGGGAATTGCACCCGTTTTATAAATAAAAATCAGTTTACTCATCACAGGAGCACTACTCTACATAGCGACTATTATTCATCATCATTATTGCTATTGCTATTCTACTAGTATAGTTGTTGCTATTGTTGTTGCACCTGTGTCTCTGTCCTTCTGTCTTTACCGCTACCTCTTAAAAGGACGTTTTTCCATGCTGCCGTCGCCAAGTGCTTGCTCATGACGGGAACTGTTGGGTCTCTGTAAATGATTTTATAAGGAGTACAGTCTAGACCTACCCTATTTGAAAAGTGTCCTGAGATAACTTTTGTTATGAATAGGCGCTATACAACAAAAAACTGAATTGAATTGAATACTCAGCCTTTGGAAACAGTTGAACAGTGTCTGCAGTGGCTCTGGAAGCTTTGTGCTGATTGGGCTTTAGTTAACATTTTTAGCAGAAAAAGACAGAAATTTCTTCTTATATTCACCAATAACACTCCTGGGTTGAAATTTTAAATTTCCAAGTATTTCATTGAGTGCCCTACAAAGGGTTAATGGGAAATGTAGGATCCAGTGTTGTTGGAGGTTAAAGTAACACTATGTAACTTTAGATGGATGTTGGCCATAGATGGGAATTATGGGATACTAATGGTGCTATCCATTTGTCTTGTAAACCCCCAGCCCAAGTTGGAAAGTGTAAATCTCGCAGCTATCTCGCAACATGCCCCCGAGACACACCCCCCTTTTGGTCGTAATTTCAGCCGTCCAGCTCGGGGTACCTCAGAGTACACCGAGCTAAACCAGGACGAACGTACGACCCGCAAAACAAAGATGGCAGCACCCATATTGAGATGTATTTTCTTTGTATTTGTACTACGTTGGTCGTTTTAATGTCGATTTTAAATGCTCCTACACACTTGTTGTCAGGAATGGTGACCGGAACTCGGGCGCAGACTAGAGTGAAGTTTCAAATAAGGAGTTTTATTTGAAAGGCACAAACAAAGTGATTTAAGTGACCGAGATTCAGATGTGACAGAGAGGGGGGATGGGTTCCGGGCTCCAGTGCTCTGGGTGTTGCGATGCTGGCAGGTGGAACTGGGTCCAGGATCTGGGTGAGATGGTCTGGGACGTGACAGGGAAAAAACAACAAGTTAGTAAGCGATATTTCAGAGTCGAGTAAGTTCAGGTTGGCTGGCGTGTTCTCATACTAAATGATTCAACGATCCGGCGGGGACTGGAAGGTCGGCCTGGTTTATAAAGGGTGGGTAGGTTGTAGACGAGGACCCGGTGTGCTGATTGGTGTGATGAACCACAGGTGAGAAAGCAGGAGCTCCAGCGACCACGCCCACCAGCGGCTTTCAGAACATGTGGGGAAAGCAAAACACAGAGATAGACACCAAACCAAAACACACCAAGCACACAGCAGGCACACCAAAGGGGAGAAAATACAAAAACTACATTCACACACACACACACACACACACACACCATGAAGGCCGGTGGGCCGTGACACTTGTTTACATTGCTGCTTTAGTCCGGTCACCAATTTATGCATTGCACGGTGTTGCTGTGCGTGCAACACAATGTAAAGTTTTGTTTTCGAGCTGGTTTGCTAAATAGGCTAGTGTAGCTAACAATAACACTAGCCTGACACTGCCCCTGGTGGCCCCTGGTGGCCCCTGGTGGCTCGAGACAAACGCCACAGCACTTGTTGAAACTGAAATAGGCAAAAATGGCAAAACATTATTGAAATGTAAGACTTGCAATAACGGAATTACTTGAAATGTTAGTGTTTCTGTAGAAAAACATTATTATTTCACATTGAGCTTGTTTAGAAGAGCCACAAGCAATAATAAGACAGCTGCTGTACTTCTCTCTGACTCGTAATGCCCAAAGACAAATGGAACACTATAAGTCAATTACGTTACGTTCTCGCAGCAGAGCAACTCGGGCGGGGGATTTACGAGACAAATGGATAGCACCATAGAGTCTACACCCTTAACTAGACAGACAGACAACTCCTTCAACACAGTTAGCCAATGAATGATTATTGTGCGCCACCATTTTGTATTGACAGTTTGTTTGAGCCAATATGGGTATATTTGGGTTCTTTTTGAAAAAGTAGTTTATATCATATGTCACAACACAAGGGGGCAGTAATATGTTGATGATGGGTCATCACACAATAAAGTAATAAATATCCACTGGAGTGTAGGGTCAGTGTGTTTGGAGCGCAGAAATATGTATTTGGTTATGAGCACAAATGGCACAATACAGACTATTATATTACACAAAACAATAGGATCAATTCTAAAGAATGCACAAGTACTAACACAACTCACTCTGAAAACCACATTCTGCAGGTTACAGCAAGACGAGAGAAGCAAGCCACAAAGGATAACTAAAGGTATGTGCGTAAAGAATACATTGTAGAGTTTCATTCGCCACCGTGGCTAAGAATAAAAGTAAAACTGAAATGAAGAAAGACAATAAAATAAACAATGAGTATGGATAGCCTCATTAATAAGAGTTTCCATCATGTACGTATTATGTGCCACATAAAGCCTACCTGGTGCATACATGGCCAACAAATATAGCTAGCTGAAAGCAGTGGGCAATAAAAAGTACATGATACAAAAATGGCCCAACCCAGCCATCCACACAAAATGTAAACATCAATGCAAATATGGGCACCTTATAAGAACTGCACTTACAGACAATGCTTCTATAAGTGACCCCAAAAGAAGATGGATGCAGATGTTTTGATAAGCCCATATGCAATGTGCTTTCTCTGAGTGCTCAAATGGCCTCCTACAGGGTTTCGAAGGGCAAGAAATGAGGCCAATAATATGCAAAACAGAATAAGCACCTCCTAGTGGCTGCAGAATGAACTGAAAGTTTTATCTCAGTTCAGAACAAAAGTAGATGCTAAAATGAAGCATAACAGTAACACAAGTAGAGAAGAGTTGTAAAGTCACTGGTCTGACTCAGTAATACGGCATTGATCTTGTTTGCTAAGTAAACTACTGGTCATACCAGACCAAGTAAGGCTGTAGTAACAAAACCCTGAGTGCTATTTCCTCGTTCAAAAGTTACATTAGCCGTGATTCCATCAATGTACGACTAAAAAACGTCCCTGAATTTCCCAAAAAGATTTTCAGGCCAGCTGGAGGTGGTTTTACCTTTTTCAAAAAGAGTTAACAAGCTGATGGAAACCCTTTATCCGAATAAGTTCTGACTAAACATTTCACATGACTGATGAGCTGTTTCTGCTCCGACAGTCTCCTCATCACTCCCATGGCTGTATAACACATCCATGATGGCTCCACACAGACATTGTTTTTAACCGTTTGAGGCTTGACTGGCTTTCTTTTAATTAAGTCATCTTGTTGCGCTATCTTCTTCTGGCTGTCCCACTGGAGAATTGTTGCCACCTCTTGCTTATCCCGATGAACCAACATCTAATATTCACAGAAACAAGCATTCATATGCATTTTCATTTGGCAAGTTACTTGAAATTCAGTTAAAACTTGCGATACATTTGGATGGAAACACAGATATAGTCTTGCTTTAACTGATACAAAGGAATAAAAATCAGGACATCTCAGTGTCTGCTGCTTTAATTGTAAACATTGGGTTTTTTATAACCATCTGTCCTCCGACTTGGAGATGATGAATGATAAATTGCTGGAATATTCCTTTAATAATGCATGCATACAGAAGACTCTACATAGTTGTATATTAGCATGATGGGGCATTTTACCAAGCAATGGTATACATGTTTCTGTAGTGATACATATTTCAGTCAAACTTGTAACAGCAGTTGTCAGCTACTGTCCAAACCACAGAACTATATGCTGAGTCAAATCCTATTTTCTTTACAGCACTGTGCAATAAAAGCCTTTTCTATGATGTTTTACCAGCAGTCACTCCAACTAAATGATTTAGCTGGCAGAGATACCCACGGGCATAACTCACCATCAGCTACTCTGATGGAGGGGTCGCAGGTCAGACCAATTCATCATAGCCAGGTGGAGTTGAGTAAATGATGGAGAAACACACACACATGCAAAATACACACACATACTGTATGTGCACACACACAAAGTTGCAGCTCTTTAATGTCAGGCTTGCTCGCTCAGAAAAGGAAACTGAATAGAAAATGCTAACTCATAATAATGTGTGACCCATGAGTTCACACTGAGGTAGATGCTATCAAAACTTGTATAATAGCTGAAGCTGGTTTTCATGTTATCACAGTAAGTTTTTTCTTCTTTTCTTATTTGTTTGCTCATTCAGTTTAGATTTAATTCCTTTCCTTACCTCCTATTTCCTTTTTCCTTTGTCAAGACATAAATATTCCAAAGAGAAGTCGCTGTCTTATCAGGTTTACTGCTATTACGTGAAGTAAGTTATTTTCCTTTACGCAACAACAGAAGGTTTGGTCGGAAGATGGAGGGGTGGAGTAGAGGAGAGGAGGAAGAGATTCAGGTGACATCACCTCCTTCCTGTTACAACTACATTTGTGACTACATGCTGCTACTGGGGGAAGTAGTGCCAGCAAGCAGATAAGTGTGTGTGTCTATGTGTGTGAGTGATAGACTTCAAATATTTTTAATGGATTTATTTTTGAGGACATAAAATTACCGGTCAAAAAATATGAAAATCATTCATTTAATCTCTAATCTAAAAGAATTATTCTAATCACTTCGGGAATCTATAAGTTTAACAAGCCAAAAAGGAATGGAATGAAAAGAACTGTGAGCTGAAAGTTTTAAGCATGTACAATATGTGTGTGCATCTGTGTGTGCTGTGCGTGTGTGTCTTGAGGATGGGCTGTGGTGAGACAGGATAATATGTAACAATAGTTAGTCACCGCCCTGCCCGTCAGTTCTCACACCTTAATGAGGTCAAATACTGGAAAATAAGCAAACATTACCACAATGTCCAGTAAGTGTCTGCTCCCATGAAACCATGTTTGCCAAAAAAAAAGTTCTTGGCCTGGCAACAGCAGACAGAACAAAACAGACTGAATCCTTACATTTTATCTTTGAAGAAACTGTCCTCCACTTTTTGGTACTTTAAAGGTCCAGCAAGTAACATTCAGGTGATTATATAATGAAAACATACCTATAGGTTTTATATTCCATTTCTGCCAATAGATCCTCCTAAATGTTACACACTGGACCTTTAAGTGCTCAGAATTTCTTTAGAAGAATCTCACTACTGGAAGTCATTTTACTTGTTGAGGAAACCCCAATACAAGACTAGAAAAGTCCAGATGGATATCAGTCAAGCTATCAGTATAGATCCTGGCAATACAACAAATCAATACAAACATGCATACTGCACTAACCACTGGCACACATGCTGGCAGCCATCTGTGTTCCATCAAATTGCACTCTGGAGATAATGACTTCCAATTTAAGTATTTTGGTGTCTCGATGCACTGGGAGCTCACAATTACAAAAATAAAGTGTTTACACCTCAAGTTTAGATATCTGCTAAATGTTTTTTTTGATTAAGCTCATCATCAGTGCAAAAGTTGACTTTGAAACATTTTAAACATTTTTTAGTCAGATGCAGAGGGAAATGGAATTGCATTTTCCATTTTTTCTCCTCTCCTTTAATTTAACTTTTACTGGATCTCAGTCTTCCTGTCAGTTTCGCTTGCTCAGCTAATCCAGATGTAGATATAGTTAATGCTGTTTTGACGTCTGTTTTGGGACATGAGGAAAGGCAGAGAGCCAGCAGCTTCTTTTATGTGAAGCAGATATCCATGACCTGTGCCAGAGAGAGTAATGAAGAAGCATCCATCAGACGGACAGTTTGGTCAGTCAAACACATCAGCATCAAAGACCCTGCAGAGATAAACTTGTCATATTCACTTTCTGGTCCTCGACCTTTAACCCCACAGATGTGGGTGGTAACACTATAGGCAGTTGTTAATAGAGTTGCAGAATTATATCATTGTCATGTTAGAGCTACATTGTGAGTGCTACAGTCTTTGTTGCTAATATACCTCTCAGTATTTCGGATAAACTCAGAAATGTCTATCGAGCAAGTTCAATATGAGGCTTTTAATCTTAGCTCCTGAAAGTGTCTAGATAGTGTGTAGTTCACGGCAAACATGCATCCACACACGTGACCCTTGAACAAAAGACAGACACATGTCTCATGTGTTTATAAAACTGATACAAATCTCTCAGAAGAGTGCCTTTGAAGAACAGATAAAGAGCAGACCGCTTGGACTCCATTAGTTTAGGACATGGACATGACGTTTACCTGGAGCCTGTTTCTATTAGTCTGTCTGTGTGGGGCCTTTGCATGTTAAAATCCATTGTGGGAATCAGGAACCAAAAACAGTTTGCGTCTCTTTCTGTCTGTTACAGCAAGGAGGAGGAAGAGCTGGTTAGCCTAGCACAAAGACTTCCAAAATCCACCTACCAGCACATCTAAAGTTAGCCTGAGCAAAGCAGGGAATCAGTGAATAAGTTCAGATTGTTTCATAGTGATTACACCTCCACACAACCATGCAAGAAAGTGCCAAATTGCTTGATTTTGGGTAAATGCAGTTTTAAAGGGTTTAAAGGGTTTTCCCTTTATTGGATAGGACAGCTGAAGATAGACAGGCGAGGGGGTCGATAGATGCGATGGCGTGCGACAGAGGGCCACAGGTCGGACTCAAACCCTGAGCTGCAGCAGCAAGGACTGAGCCTTAGTAAATGGGGCACCAGCTCTCCCAGGTGAGCTATCTGGACACCCCTTGCCTAGCGCTTTCGCCACCTACAAACAGACACACGGACCACAGCTGACGAAGCCCATCTGACGTCTCTGCAACCATGGAGGCAGTTGGGCTCATTTTGACTCGACTCCGAGTCACACCCAAGATGGACTGACATGGTTCATCTTGGGTGCGACTTGACTGGTGTGCGTTTGACCGAATGAAAACACAAATCCTCGCAGCATGGTTTGACTTGACAAAAGTGCAGATGAAGGTCCCCTATAAGTAGCATGTTATATCTTGTTATTTAGTCCCTAGCTTAAGATGTTTCCTCATTATGTTGATAAGAAAAACTAATTGGGGAAGCATTATGTTCCTCAGTAAATATTGCTGATGCAAATTAGTAGTACAAGAATGTAATTTTCTTTGGACACAATGTTACGCCAAATGGTTGAAATATAAATAATTCTAATAAAGTTTTATAGTTATTTGATTTGTTTAGTTGAGTTAAGGTGAATAACAGTACTGATACTCATCACAAACACTTTAAAGAACTCAGTGACTCCTCTAAATCCTCCTTCTACTCAGGTTGGAAAAGCTACAGAAACAACATTTGTACTATAATAGGACACTGAAACAACCTCTGTTAATCATTGACAGTTAAATAAAGAATTCCTTTCCCAAAAACTGTTACTGATAAATATCTGATGTGTAATAAAAGGTCTCACGTCAGATAAAGCTGCAGACCAGAATCGCTGCTGATGTTCTTTGTGAGTGATACTGATACACCGCATGGAACTTTTTTTTTCTCGGTTCAACTGACCATGATCACATAAAACCTATATCCCCCCTCCCACATGACCCCAGCTGTGTTTACTGTCTGCTACTATGTTTGATTCCCAGGACCTAGAGACAGGAGATCCTGGGAGAAACAACACACACACTCACACAAATAGACATCACAGTCTGGATGGATGGATGACTGGAGGCCAGGACAGAGAGGGCCAATCGATCAGTCCAATAGTAATGATAATAAAGTCTTCCTGGAACTGCACAATGGATTATTTTGTAACATTTGAGGAACAGCTTGTTCTCTCTCTGTGCATCAGCATAATGAAATAAAATTCAATATCTTTTATTAAAAACAAATCTTATAGTCAGTTTCAGTTTTAAAATACAATATAAGAAAATGTGCGTGTGAAGATCTTGTGACAGATAAATAGTGTTTTATCTTCATCACTTATTTTGTTACTGTATGTTAACCAGACATTTCTAAAGCTGCTACCCCGACTGGTATTGCTTTTCTCCGCAGCATCAATTTCACAGACTGCTTGGGGGGTAAAAAGTAATGTATCATGTACAGAACAAACATTGCAGATTAAACTAGATTAGTTATTAATAATCCTCTGAAAGTTAGATGAGTGCAGCAGAAATGTTTTGCCACAGAAAACAAAAGGAAAAGAGAACAAGGACATTAGAAAGTGATGAACCACCTGAAGAGAATTTTGCCGCTTTTGCTTTACTTGTTAATTGTTATAACCTCCAAATGACCGGCCTAGGACCTAATTAACTTTCATCCATAATACAGCCCAAAGAAACCTCACTAAGTTACACTATTAGTGCGTAGTGATGTAAAATAGAGTGGGGGAAACAGAAATGGATGATGGAAGGCATAAAAAAGGATTCTAAAGCCCCAGTCGCACCAGAAGGAAACACAGATAAATCAACCCTCAGATCAATCCTTCTCAGCAGAATAGACATATAAGAGGCTTGGTGACGTAGCGACTATTCACAGGAATAGTTGATAAACTATTAAATCAGGACAGACTTCATTAAGAGTGAACATTATTTACTGAGATGTGGATGGACGTGAAGAGTTAGCACAGACATATGCACTGGAAGTGATGGAAATCTGTTTGGTTTAAATAAAAGTGTAACACACAGATGATTACAGAGAAAAGGAGGAGAAGAAGTAGAGAGAAACGTGAATGAGGAGTAGCATAATCTTCTGAATGAACTTATGCTAAGCTAGCAAGCCGGGAAAGGCTCCCTAAGCTTCTTTCTATGTTATCTGTACCATCCACTCCCCCTGTCATTTTCAGCTCGGCACAGGTCACTAACAGAAATCCAGTTAGCACAGTCTGTTCAAAGGATGCAACCTGTTTCCCAGCTACAAACCATTCTTTTTTCCTAGAGCAGTCCATACTCTGATACCGTTGTATTTTACAGTTTTTAATTCTAAACTACTACTACTATATGGCATGTTGAATGAAATTAGCTTCTTCTGAAGTGCATTATCCTGCTATACTTTAGGGTTAGTGTTTGACAGATTATTTGCAGTGCAAGACAAGGCATTGGGCATATAACAGGGAAAACAATCAAAAACATCTGAAAAAAATGAAAGGTCTTAAACAACAAAGAAAGGACTTTAGGAAAAGTATAGAGAGAGGAGGTTAATTATTGAGACAGATGGCATTAAATGGCACACATTAAGCATTAACCAATCACAGAGGGTAAACGAATGAGGTAAGCGGTGAGGTCACTACCTGTAACCACTTGAGTTTTGCATTTAATCTCTGTGGTTGAGTGATTTAGAGGTGAGGTGAACCCATGCATGTACGAGTGTGTATGTGTGTGTGTTTGTGCCAGCAAGTGTGTGTGCATGCGTCCGTATAAGTCAGATGTTTTGTAAGGAGGCTTTACTTTAATGAGGAACCATTTCTTAGAA